TGGAGGTACAGCCGCAGGGACGGCCCGGTGAGCGCCATGACCGCCTCGAGCTGCTTTCGGTGCCTGTCGTGTCGTTGGTCGTGTCGTGTCGTGTCGTGCGTTGAGTCGTCAGCGTCGCAACACGCCAAAGACCCGGGGCAGATGGCGCGCACCGCTCGGAATAGACTGCGAGCTCGGGCTGGACGCCCGGGTTCCACTTGTTGCTTCCCATCAGCCGCAGCGTCACCTGCAAGCGCGGAGACTCCCGTTCGACTACATACTCCTCTTCCTCCTCCTCTTCATCGTCGTCATCATCATCGTCATCGTTGCCGTCGTCATCTTCATCTTCATCATCGTCATCGTCGCCCCTGTCGGCGTTGCGCGCCTTCTGTTGTGATCCAAGTGTCAACCTTCACCGCGCGCGGTGCCGCGATTGAATTGAAAGGCGCAGGGGGGGGTGTACCAGCTGATCTGTTTGCCGGGCGAGCGCGTGTAAGAGCTGTAGAAGGCGTTCGACCAGGGACCGCAGGGACTTGTTGTCGGCCTTGCTGGCCCGCCGGTCCCTCGCCTTGACCATCTCCTCCAGCCGGCTCCGGAGCTGGAACAGCTCGTGCTGCCCGGGCACTGCCGACAGCAGCTCGGCCTCGACGCCGGCCTCGTCGTCGGCGTCGGCGTCGTCGTCGACGACGAAAGCAAGGTCGTCGTGGATGGCGGCGAGGAAGACGAGCAAGGCGTCGGCGCCGGCCAACCGCATGGAGATATCGTCGTGACGCAAGAAGCCTAGCACGAGCTCCACGTTCCTGTGCGCACGAACTGGTGAAGGCAGGAACATCGCACACACCGCAACCGCACACGCTGCACACCGCACACGCCGCACGCACACCGCACACGCCGCACACGCATACCGCACACAGGGGGACGTACGTGTCGAGCCAGGACGCCAGGTAAGGAGCAGGGAGCAGGGTGCCGAGCAGACCAATGACGGACAGGGCCGTGGCGCGCACGATGGCCGGAGTGCGGTCGTCGGCGCACAGCCGCGTGAAGGTGGTGTCGATCAACTCGATCACGGGGTCTTCATCGTCACCATCACCGCCGGCTCCCTCCGCCAGGTCAGTGCCATAATAGTGCAGGAAATGCAGCACACCCAGCACATCCACAGCCTGTCGTGTATCGTCGTGAGTTGTTGTGTGTGTGTCGTGTGTGTGTGTGTGTGTGTGTGTCGTGTGTGTCGTGTCGTGTGAGTGGTGTGTGGTGTGTGTGTGCTGTGTGTGTGTGTGTGTGTGTGTGTGTGTGATGCGTGCGATGAACGTATGAGCGAAAGAGGCGTAGCGCGTACCGCCGCACGAAGGTCATCAGAGTTCACCACGTCGTGGTGCCCTCCCACTCGCTCTGGCTCGGCCTGACCGTCGCCATCGTCGTCGTCGGTGCCGCCGACTAGCGTGTGTCGGGCGAGCACGTCCAGCAGCTTCTCGCGCACGATCGCGCAGCTCTCCTTGGACCACAGAAGCACCAACCCGGCCACCATCACCGCCAGCAGCCGCTCCTCCACGCACCTACTGCTGGCGGAGGCGGCAGCCGCCAAGCTGCGGCGCAGGTGGCCGGCAATGTCGTCGGCGTGGGCCGCGATCAGCCGGTCCACCCCGTCGCGGCACAGCTCGACGCCGAACTCGGCATCGACCGCGGGCGACAGGAACGCGTGCAGGCTGTGGAGCGCGCTCATGCGTCGTCGCTTGCTGGCCGAAAGTGAGCGAAAGAGCGAAAGAGAGCGAAAGCGATGATTGAGGGGTGAAGGTACTCGGTGTGGGCGAGCCAGCCGAGGCACCACTGCACTCGGTCGGCGTGGTCCGAGCCCCAGTCGGCGGGCAGCAGGCCTGCGACTTCCTCACGGGCCGCTCGCCACTCCTCGCCCACCTCCTGCTCCGTTGGTGCCTGAACGAAATAATTAAATAAAATACAACTTGAATGCTAAAAATAATTATATTAATAATAATACATATGTATAATAAAGAAATAACGAAATAATAGGCGTGTAATGGTACGGGAGGCTTGGGCGGCTCGAGCACGGGCGGCAGGTACACGGCGCCTCGGTCGTACTCGCGCCGGTAGGCCTGCTGCAGCTCTTCCCGCCGTTGGGCTGCCTTCTGCTCGCGCTTGAGGCGCAGCCGGGCGTTCTTCTTGGCGGCTGCCACGGCCTCGCTCGCACGCCGCACCTCCCGCCGCGTGAGCTCCTCCTGCAACCTGGATGCCTGCAGCACACCCACCTCGTCGAGCCCTCCGTTTCGTGCCAGGCGCCTCCTTGCCCTCTCCATCTTTCTCTTGTGTTGCGCAAAGCGTCAGACGCTTCACCGAACTTGCGACCGTGAAATTTCCCCGGTCCTTTGCCAAAGGACGGAGAAAAGGTAAACTAGTTTTGGCGCCATTTTTCTGCAAGACCATCACGGCACTCAACTCATCCAGACTCTTTCACAGCCCAGAACATCAACACTGACACCGACACCTAGTACACCACAGGTACATCCTTACCTTCCACAATGCCTGATTACCACAATTATTTGGCCATCTAATATCAAATTTTGGTCAGACTCAATGGCAGCTTCTTCATTCACGCATTCGATCAGCGATCATCGTGATACCGTGGTCATCGTGCTGGGAGGAGCTGGGACCGTTGGTGGAGCGATTGCCCTGGATCTTGCCAGCAAGGGAGCGGTGGTTGCCATCCCCTCACGTGATCAGGCTCGGCTTGACAACGTAGCAACATCTTTTGCGGCGAAGCAGATTCCTCGGCCACTGCTCTTCTGTGTGGACGTCAGCACTCAGAAGGGCGCTGAGGAGTTCCTCGAGAACGTACGGAAGGCGACGAACGGCCGAGTTGACCACGTAGTTGCTTCACTGGGAAAGTTTGAGTGTGACGGCCCTCTGCTTGCCCAGTCCCTAGAGACGTTTGAGAAGCGTGTGAATGGCAACTCAAGCCCGCACTTCATAGCGCTCAAGGTGTTGCTGCCAGTCATAGAACACCAAGAGGGCTCCACCTACGTTATCGTCACCGGTTCCTATCTCTCTTCTGCCCACCAGTGCGCCTCTTCCTTTCTCGGGCAGTGTGTGCTCCGCTCACCAACAGCATTCACATCAATATAACAGGTACTGCTGGAGAGCGCCTGCTCGCTCCTGGCACTGCTCTCGTGAGTGTTGGTGATTCAGCTCTCAATGGTCTGGTCATGAGCGTGTGCGCTGAGCATAACGCCAAGACTGGCATGAAGGCTGCCATCATCGATTTCAAGATCGACATGAAGGTCATGCAGCATGAGGGCCAGACAGGCCTCAGGCCACACCAGGTCGCTGCCAAGGACGTCGGCCGCATCGGCGCTGGCCTTGTTGGCGCGAAGTGCTCAGGACCAGAGCCCTTCGTACTACGCCTCAACAAGGCTTACCTTAAGTGGGTCAGGTTTGCTTTGCCTGTACGTGATGCGTGTACTGCGCACTAACGCAGCCCTTGCACTCTTTGGCCGCAGTATAAGGAACAAGGAACCATGGAGCCCGCTACGGCCGATGTGGACACTTCGGCATGGTCGCCGCGAGCGGCCCGAACTTCCGCGTCACCTGCTTCAATGACGCCAGGCTTCGCCACCCCTCAATCTTCATTTGAAGTGGACTCGCCCTTTGCTTCGCCAGAGACCTCGTCCGTTTACGGGTACACGCACCATTGCACTCGCTCTCCCTTGCTTGCACCAGTGCACTGATGTCTCGACACGACACGACACGACACAAACGCCAGCACTCCACTGCCGGCGCGGCTTGCCCCAACCGACCAGGCGCCCTCGCCACAATCACCCGCTGTGGCCCATCGAAAGAGAGGTAAGAAATGGCCTTGCCCGTGCCCTAAGGTCAAAGCGCTCAAGCTCACGTGAGCGTGGTGCTCGACACGTTGAGCAGGACGTCGATTCGACAACGCAGGCCGATTATTGCCCAACAAGCCCTTCCTCGGTGAAGGCAATGACTGCGGTGCAGTCAAGGAGGACACCCCCCAAACAGAGCTGAGCTGCGACCAAGAAGAAGAAGAGCGGAGCGGCCATGGCCAGCGTGGATCAAGGCTAGACCAGTAAGGGCGATCGATGAAAGTGGGCCACGAGCCTCCTCTGGTTATGGCAACCTGAGCGGCCAGCTTGATGTAAATGGTGTAAAGAACTATGTAAATGTAAATATGTAAGTCGTTCCTGTCGTTCTATTGGTAGGGCAGACACACGACAGGGCACGGTCTTACTGGGCGGCAGAGTAAACCCTCTTGGCGCTCTCCAGGGTCTGCTTGAGGAGCATGCACACGGTCATGGGACCCACGCCCCCGGGCACCGGGGTGATGGCACCCGCCACCTCCTTGGCCTCGTTGAAGGCCACGTCGCCCACCAGCCGGTAGCCTGCACCATGGTGGTGAGTTGTGTGTGTGCGTGTGTGTTGTGTGTGTGTTGCTAAGGGATTTGGAGATGGCAAGCCGTACCAGCCTTCCTCGAGGCGTCGGGCACGGAGTTGATGCCCACGTCGATGACAGCGGCGCCGGGCTTGACCCAATCGCCCTTGACGTACTCGGGCTGGCCGATGGCCGCAACGACTGAGAGGAGAGAGAAAGAGAAGAACAAGATGCTGAGCACTGGAACAGACCAGAGAGATCGTTCTAAGGACCAAGAAAGGGAGCACGTACTGATGTCGGCCTCCCTGCAGATGGCCGCCGGGTCCTTGGTGCGCGAGTGGCAAATGGTGACGGTGGCGTTCCTGTTGGAGGTGGCCACAGAAAACCATCAATGGCCAGCGAGAGAAGCTACTGTTCTACGAAAGCAAAGCCGCGTACTTGTGGAGCAGCATGAGCGCCACGGGCGTGCCGACGATGTTGCTCCTG